CAAGACTGTATTTTGTTTAGACAGCTGTTTATTTATTTTTAGTTTGTTCAAAGAAGTACAGTAAGCTACTGGAATGCAACTCTAATCAGCTGTCAGGGTCAGCCATAATTCTGACAACAAGCGTTTAGAGCTCAGATGCAAATACACAGAGGAGGTATAGTCACTAGGATTTAATAAAGTACAGTCTTACGACTGTATGTCCACACAACAGAGAATACATCACGCGACAACCCACAAAAACTCTGAAGAACACGAGAGACCAGGCTTGGGTTAATCAAAAACAACAACAGCTAAATCCAAAACATCAAGAACCCTAAAATGGTGACACCAATCATATTATTTAGCTGAAGCTATCTTGTGGATGAAACTTTATCATCCAGCATGCATGCTTCATATCATATGCAATTTTCAGCGAAGCAGTGTCCTCTAGCTAGAGTTACAGATCCATGCCAAGTGAGTTTATGGCCCTTTTGGCCTTCTGCAGGCGAGTCGAGTTAACGTATGGCACATAATTCACTTACAAGAGATTAAGCTGATGGCTGTAAACTTTATCTAGAATGATACTGCGCTTTTAGACCTCTCATTCCCAGAGCGGCCATGTTGTTGACCCCAGCTATACATGGCTATGAATAATATGGAGCAGCTTTAACATCCCAATAGATCATGTTGCCTATCTGTTCAGAGCGCAATGCACATTTGTTTTTTTTTAAGTCTGATTTATGTTTTGTTTTTTTCCCATGAGGGCCTTGTTTGCATCCAATGACGTGATGATAAGTGAAGTTAATGGTGTGGTGTCAAGGGGTATTAAGTAAAAAAAAGGAGAAAAGAGAGAAATAAAGGAAGAAGAGACAGACGGTAGAAGGAAGCTGCTGACGGGTACTATGTCTTAAATTATTTTAATTAGAGTTGATTGGTATTCATACCGCATTACACTGCAGCCATGTTTCTTAAAAACCTTGACAACTCCCAGGCTCTCCATGCTTCCCTCCTTTCACACCAACATACTAATTAATAAATCCTCCTTGAACAGCTATCAGCTTTGATTAGATCTTAATACTTGTCCTTACACCCTGCTGATGGCAAGAACAGCTGATTTAAGCTTAATTCAATTGTCAAAAAGTGCTGCAACTTGCACAAAATTTTTTAAGATTTCATAAGTTGGCTGTCAAACTTTAGCTTGGAAGCAGCGGGAATAGCAAACAGTTTTACTCTTTTTTAAGATTGAAAAATGCAGCAAGAGACAACGCTGTTAATGAATGCAGGTTAAACAGGGGGGAAAAGATATGCAAAATATGTGCCGTTTAACTAATGAAGCAGAAGACAAAATCTAATTGTCTGACGAAGCATTAAAGAAGTCATTAAGATGTTGTGGCGTGAAACGTATAAGATCTTGCTTGACCCCGGACAACAGTGAAAATTAGGAAAGGCAGGCTTGAGGATGGAAGGAAGATGGGGGGAAAGGATGAAAAAGATGGAAAGAATGAATGAAGGAAACAAAGAAGCAAATAAAGAAGGAAAATATAGCCGCAAGCGGCGATTTACGGGTTCATACCTTTTTTCCCAATATCACCATCAAAATTATTTCACACATACGGTTCAACATTGTTATTAAACACATCCTGCAAGTTTTGTAACAACTGGACAACAATTTTCTGATCTATAGCTTGATTTGTATCATTCCACGTTCCAGTTACGATGCATTTATAGTGCCCCCTAGTGGTGAATTTGAATGAAACTTTCAGGGCATGTTTCATTTACTTGTGAGGACATATCTTGAGAGATTTGTGATTGGAGAATGAATATGGGATTTATAGTGTAATTTGTGTAATGCTAAGCACCTTTCTTGCGCTTATAGCGCCCCCTAGTAACAAATGTACATCAAACTGTTCAGGTATATCTGGGGCACCCATCTGAACATATCCTGTGAGTTTTGTGATGATCGATCGGTTGCTGATTTATGTTCATTTATGTCCAGAGCCACGCCCCTTTCAAAGTTCATTGGTCCATATCTTGAAAAGTAATTGAGATATCGACATGCTTTATACAACTTTTAATAAGATTGATCCAATGATGATTCACTGAAAATTTGGTGGCAATCGGAGCTACAGTCTAGGAGATGTCAAAAATGTTATTTTCAAAAAATTCAAAATGGCGGAAAGATTTTATAGGCGGACCTTAATAGTCCCAGAGGCTTTTTTGTAGAGCACATTGAGCTGCACCTGTATGAGAAATTTTAAGTCAATCGGACTTATGGTGTAAGGGGCGTGGCCTTTCAAAGTTTGCATTTTTAAGCCTTAATTATAGCGCCACCATGTGGCTGACTGGTTTCAAACTTCTATGGAAGCTGATGCACACCATTTCCAGTTATTCCCCCAAGTTTCATGTTTCTAGCTCATTCCAGCTCACAGGAACTTGAGCCGGCGTGGCAGACAACAAATAAAAATAACTAAAACACACAAAAACAATATGGTACCGCTAACAAGGGAGGGAAGAAGGAAACAAAGAAGGATAGCCAGAAAGGAAGACGGAAACAGAAGCAAAGAAAGAAGTACAGCAAGAAAAAGTGATGAAGAAAGAAAGATGGGGAAAAGGAATGAAAGAAGTAATAAAGAAGGAAAGAACAAAGCAATCATTGAAATAATATTGGAAGAATGGAAGAAAAAAGAAAGAAAGACAAGGAAAGAGGAAATCAAAGAAGGAAGGAAGGAAAGAAGGAGAGAATCAACAAAATAAAGAGATAAAATCAGAAAGAAAGAAAACAGAGAAGAAACAAAGCAAAGGAAAGATGTGGAGTATACACACAGCCTTATCCCCATCTTCATGAGAGGACATAATATTCATTCTCTGTCTGTCTGTCTGCCAGTAGATCATCTGTTTTTGTTTGTGTAGCAGAGTTTCTTCACAGCAGTGATACTTAATGGGACGTGTGATTTCTCGCTGTTGGGTCACCCTCCTCTCTGACAACAGTAGCAGTAAATTTTCACGTGACAGAATCCCACAGGATGACGGCCAAAGAGCCCCAAAGCTTGAGTCTTGGGGTGAGACTAAATTTCTAATGGTGGGTCCTCTGACTGACAAAAATGAAGAGCTCCCTGCTTCACAGGGTTTCGTCTCACTGGGTGGGTTTTCATTATGTGACTTTGTGAAAATCACAACAGAAGCTTGAGATGCTTGTTGAGAGAAGCCTGAAGGTAAACATTTTTTCTGAAGTCAGATGAGAAATGGAGTCTTGTTTCAGAGGTCCCCTTGTGTCTCGACAACACAAGTTTAATCAATTAATAAAACACTTAATTACAAATGTCATGATAGGATTCTTTGCAAAACAGCCCACATGGACCATGCTGGGTCCTCAACTTAACTTAAAGCTGTACCTATGAATATTTATTATATTAACAATGGATCTGATGATAATGAATAATGTGAAATGGGTCGATTGTAATGACAAACCCACTGAGTCCAACTCTGCAGTTTGCCTGAGCTCTACAGAGCATGTTTCAGCTAGTTTGTTCTTTCTAATAGCCCACAACTCTACTGTTTTGGTCTCACCTCTCTCATCAACCTTTCCAGCAACATAAGCACGAGGTTTGTAGTGAAAAAAACTTGAATAAACAAAAAGGATTTTCATTATGTGAATTTGCCAGCATTGAACTGCTAATAGACAAAGGTGGCAACACAAAGCTAGCACCTAGCAAATGAAGTAGTAGAGCATTTACTAGATAAAGAGACGGATGTTTTTCTCAAGAGATGGTAGAGACCAAACTAGAGCTAAAAGGAGAGTGAATATTGGACTTGTGTGTGTTAATAGGCAACTGTTTTTTAACACGTTTGCCATATTGACTTACAATGTAGAGTGATGCTATTAGTGGACATCAGAAAAACCAAACAACTAGCTAACAGACACACAAAACTTGAGATGACATTGTTTTTTAAAGTTTTTATGTGTTAACAGACAGTTGTTCATTTAACATTCAGAAAACTCAGAGCAACTTTAGCATCTATTTGGAGTCTCTTGCTGTCTAAGAATGTAATCATAATGTTATATAATACTTATGATAATGATAAAATATACCAATATTCACTATCCTAGCCCTGTTTCTGCAGCTAGTCGCTGACTTTGTCAGCTGTTTGATTCTGGGCAAGGAGCATACGGTTGATTTATCTGTGCTTGTTTCCTCAAAACAGTTGTATGGCTCGGACTCAGCCACAGAGTAAATCTATGTGCTGCTAAACCATAACAATGAGCTGAAAGAAGCTAGTAAGCTAGAGCTGTGGTGAACTTGAGAGTCAGGTGCTGATTCTCTGTGGGCTCATTGCTGTGAGCAAGCCCTCATTTGATTGTAATGTAAAAGTATTCATCAGTGGAGCTTTAGGCATACTCACTAGGCAATCCGTACTGTGCCCGAGCACTTTTAACCCCCAAAGTTTGACCAGTGTAATCGCTCTGTGGTTAAGCTGGACTCCGGCACTTGTAGTGTGATTGCTAACCATGCCCGAGCACGGAACTCGGACATAAATGCCACTGTGCCGTGTGAGAGAGAGCGCTTTTTTTTTCCAAAAGAGTGCAACCCAGCTGTGATCTAACATTAACATAGCTATCCTTATTAGTTAGGCTCTTTACATGCTTGCTGAGAACTTTCTTAAAGGTGGATCTCCACATTGACAGCTTTATGTTATGTGCAGCTGTGTGTTCATGAAAGAGAGAGGGCCTAGTAAAAAAAAAAAATCAATACGTGGCGGTCAGCATTGGTACTGTGGCGGGTCGCCAGAATCAATGTATGGGAAACACTGGAGTGATGGCGTGCTCCGGCTCGGATTGTTTAGTCACAGTGTGAGCGCAGGCCAGCGGGGAGGGGGGAGGGGGGGGCAGTCATGCTCGGGCACAGTACAAGGCAACCGGGCTTAGTGTGAGTGCGCCCTCAAGAGTTAACCCATAACCAATAGCACCTCTGTGAACTGAGTTTCAAAATATCTACAGTGATCTGAGGGGACAATTTTTGGGATGCTCCTTGTGGTTACAAGAAAATCTGTGTGTCCTCAAGAAACACCGACTTCATTCCACGGTGGCTTTCACTTCCAGTAAAAAAATGTCAGGGGAAAAAAAAAAGATTTCATTATTAGTTTGTTTGTCAGTCTAAACAGAGGATGTTTCCAGATCCTTGCAGCAAGATTGGCGAATAACTCATTCAACACCCACACGGGCCAAGTAATAAAAGTATGGGGAAACTGGAGAAGACTCTGTCCTTATTAGGGGGAGGCAGATGGTGTCCCATATTGGTCCTGATGGGAAATGGGGAAGGATGAGTCATCTGAATGTATCGATCTGTAGGTTTGAGGGACATGCAGCATGTAACCAAGCCTTCATGTTTTGTTTTGTGTGTCTTACCTGACATGAAAAGGAGGTGGAAACAGGAGAGGGGGAAAATTCTGTCCGCTGCGGGAGAGAAAAAAGTTGTGATATAAAAGTGACAGAGGTTATAGAAGTTTCAGGCACATCATTGCATGAGGATTTTCATTACCGTTTCCCATCTACAATAAGATGGCATTTGTGTGGAATTTAAGTCTTTAGCTACATGGATACATGTATGTGGAGGATATTGTAGTTTCTAGGATACTTCTTTTGTATGTCCCTTCCAAGATTACCGAAACATAATAACAAAGGGCTGCTTGACATAAACTTGCAGAGTCTGCTTATTTGCACAATATTTGCTAATGTGTGTGTTAAAAGTGATGGAGGAATTATCACAAGATTTGTTTTCTTGCTGTGTGTCTTCACCATTAATCAGCTGAATGTTTAGGGGAAATGTAATCACCAACAATTATGATAATCAAATGGACCATTTAAGTAATTTGTTAAGCAAAAAGGGCAAATATTTGCTGATTCCATCTTCATAATTTGCAGGATTTGCGTCTTTGTTCTGTTTTATATTATTGTAAATTGAACATCTTTGGGGTCTGGAATACTGGTGGGACAAAAAAAGCTATTCGATGCAGTCACCTTGGGCTCTAGGAAATTGTAATGGGGATTTTTTGCTAATTTCTGAACAATAATCGAACAAATAATTGATAGAATCATCAATAATGAAAGTATTGGCAGCGCTACATGAATGCTTTGTCTACAGTAGAAGACCACAGCTTCAAGATGGATTTAAAACAATCTGTTTCAGTCAAGCTTTGTGACAATTGTCTCGTTTTATGTGCTAAATATTCTACCTCAGCCAAGCAGGAAAACCTTTTCTGCAATATTTGAAATTGTTTTGATTTCTGGCATTTAACTTTTTTAGTGCCCAAATTAGAAGTATGCATCAAAGAAGGGGGATCAAACATAATAATGAGAATTTGTGCAAAATGTCATTTCCAGAAACCTATAAGGACATTTCTTTTATCCTTGGCCCCAGTTGGTTACTTTTTCTGAAATGTTCTGCTATCGAGTCCTTCCCCAGTGGTTGTAATGCTGTCAGTTTCTTTCTTTCTCTCAAATTGCTTTCAATTTCTTAAATTCAAGCTTGTTTATAATGAAACTAGTGGCTACATGACCTGCATTCCCTTTGTGGATATTTAATACGTTTTTATTGTGGATTCATGTTTGTATTTTATTGACAATTGTAAGTTCAATGTTAGAAACGCCTCAGTGCTGCTTGGAGGGCGATGTCTAATACTGAAACAAAGGTGGTTTGGAGTAATGTAGTTTCTAGCTGGGAGTGTTCGTTTGTGTGTATTGCCCTTGATGATGGAGAGGTTAGATGTGATGAGGCACGCTATGGCTGTGATGCCTGAAAGAGAGAGAGGGAGACTCCTCTCCCTCTGGAGAGCGACCCTCTTTTGGTTTTTTACACCATCACACAGGTTTTTGTCACAGACAGAGCCCCATATGTCTGTGAGAGCAGGTCTGGCACAGCAGGTCAAAGCAACAAGCCACAGCAACCATCTGGCCCCATATTTGTCAAACTGTCAGGTGGGTTTGATTCTCTGCCCTTCACCTCCCCGCTGCCCTTCTTTGACATGCCAGTCTATGCTTGTAAGGTGGCAGATCCTAAGTACAGTATCTGTGTGGATGTGTGTGCATTTTCTGTAGGAGTGTGCTTTTTCTCTGAGTGACACATGCCGGCCCAGTCCCACAGGGTAGCTCTAACCTTTTTTGTCATTTCTCTTGGCAGCTACTCTGTTATTATCATCATCGTCGTCTCTCTCTCTCTCTCTCACGGTCTCCATTTATTTTCTGTATGTCAATCTTTTGTTCTGTCTGTCTTTCTTACAGTTTCTGGTCTCTGACCCTCTTCTATTTGGCTTATGCTGTCATGTTGATCTAGTCCAATGCTAGTCACTCCTCTCTCTCTCTCTCTCTCTCTCTCTCTCTCTCTCTCTGACTCATGGTTGTCATGTCAGGATGCTGCTAACTGTAACTCTGGTTTGTCACTCTCTGGTCCAACACCACACAGTATTCTATCTGTATCGTTTACTGCCTGTGTGTCTGCTACTTACAAAATAAATTCTGGGTTTCCACATGTTGTCCAAGTTTGCAGCCTATTTTCTTTACTTGGTCCCGCAAAGGAAATGCATGCTAACATGCTAAAATGAGCTTAAATATAGAGGCACTTAATAAAAAAGATAGTCAGAAGCCATAATTGCCATTGGGCATCATTACACAGGGTCATTTCTAGCAGAGATCCCACCGTTTCTTAAGATACCAAATAGTAAGGCGTCTAGAGTGAGTGAAATGACATCTAGAGTTTTTCCATTTGATCGAGTGTCTTGGGTTTGAACATTACAGTAAAGAAGAGCTGGATCAAGTTCATAAAGAATATATATGTGATATAGGGGTGGGTGATATGGATAAAATGGTCTTACATGATTTATGCAATTTTATATATCAATATTTATGTTCTTATGGGAAGCAGTCCAGTTGGCAGTCTCTAATCTCTCGTCTCTCAGGTGATGCTATCATACAGAGTGCAATGATATGACTTTTCCTAAGTTACCTAGTGCCATTGGGTGGCTGATATAATTTTGATAGACTTATGTATTGATCTACAGCACAAATGAATGTGCTATGACATATGTTGGCTACACAGACAATACTTCTTCATGGGAACAGTTGGTCTTGGATTTGTTGACAGTAACAAAAAATATTTAAAAAAAAACTCTTATCCTGTAAGTAATACATTGTGTTAAGAACTTATTTGACTTTTTCTTTGTTCAACATTTTGACACAAAATGTGATGTAGTGTTTATTTATATTTGATTATGTAGTACAATGCTGTATATTGCAGGTAGTGGTGGGGATCTGTACAGTTGTTTGATGTTGTTGCATGGAATGGGACTTTTATACTTGGAATCAAATGTATTCATTAATGCATTTTTTTTTTTCTACTGGTTTGAGTCTGTGGATTAAGGGCTTCCCAGTAAATCATACTGTATGCTGAGATATTAATTCACAGTTTTATTTCAGCTCTGGTCTCTTGAGACTATTTGGCCTTTCCAGTGAACCTTTCGAATCGGTAAAAGTTTTAATAAGGAATAAAACCATTACACACACCGAAAGTGTCAGTTAATCATATAGAGAGCAGAATAATTGTGATTTCCCTCACTTATTTTGCACTTAAATGTTAATAAGTTATTTTTCAACATTTTTAATTCAGCAATAAACACTCCGCACAATAACCCAGATGTAAAATAAATAGTGGACTGTTTATTTCCATGCGGGCTTCTCAGTCCAGATCCCTGCAATAAAAGAAAGTTACTGTACAGTTAGTATTGGAGTGCTGTCATGTACTTATTTACTCACAACAAATTACTTGCTTCATTGTTTCAGCACAGCAGAGTAGCATATTTTCACCAGCTGTTGTCTTGATGATGTCCTGATCTGCGTCTATCGACTACACAGTGCAGAAAAATGGTAATTGAATTGCCCGTTGTGGCCCGGCCTTTTGCTTTATTTGGGAGCTCCTCTGTGTCCGGACTGCCAGAAAGTCATTACAGCAAATTAGTTATTTTGACCCCACGCCAACTCTTTGTGTTCTGTGCCAGGCTCTCATAAAGCAGGAGACGCGCTGCTGCGAGTATGACTGAAGACTGTAAGGTTATGAATTAGATATACATAGCTTGGCGTGTGTTTGTGTGTGCATGGTTGACTGCAGTATCTAATCAAGCTTTGATGAGCCTCCTGTTTCCCAGGTGGCGATGAAATGAAGGGATCATCATCTTTTATTAACAGCGCATGGCCAAGTGCATTTAATCACAAATGCTCATACAGGCTCTAATAAACATGATAACTGTCTTTCTCGTTTATGTACTTTTCAACTACCGATTGACTGATTGCTTAGTTACTGTTGCTGTCCTGCTATGACAGACACAGTATGTGTGGCTTTAGTTGACAGAGGCGCACACACACATCACAAAACACATATATGTGAGTTTTGCGTCATTTACTTTGCTCTCCAATTTTACATCTGTTGCAAATTGAATTCATTCAGTCATTAAAAAAACAACTTTTACAGTCTGTGAGAGATGAATGAGGCTTATGCCACTGAATGTATTCTGGGTATTGCCAAAACACTAATAACCTACTGTCCATCTATCCATCTAAATTGATTTTATTTTAGTTTCTTTTGTTTTGTAGGTTTGTAAATTAATGGAATTTAATTTGTAATGATCGCAGCATCTATCCGAATCAGTGTCCAATACAACAGAGCTAAGTAGATAATCCACAGAATTAACTGTCTACCATTTTCATGGGAATATTTTCTACTGAAGAAAACTAATCTGTATCCGCATAAACTAATGTGGTTAATAATGTGCTCCTTGACCTTGGAAGTAACACTCGGTTACCACTGTAAGAAGTATGCTAGTTAGGTTGAGGTGGTTGAAGCTGCAGCTTAGGTTAGAGCAGATAAACACACTGTTTAATCCACTTTATTATACACTTCTTCTCTCCTCTGTTTTTGCTTTTGAAAGAAAAGAAACCAGTCTCCACACTCTTTAAAGCTGAGTATCACCCCTACTGCAGCCTCATGCACACCTCTTAAACATGTGGAGAAATCCTAAGGAAGGAATGCTATCCTTACGACTGCTAAGCTATGAATCGGACAATTGGTGTTTGGGGGGGCTGTCAGTTCCTTTCTTCTTCCTAACACATATGCGTGCACACAGGAAGCCATGCACACACTTGCACACATTCAACTCAATCTCCATTAAATGAGATAAGGTGAAATCTCTCTACCTCTCCTGTGGTCTCTCTTTCCCTGCACTGACTGACCGGCTAAATGATAGGATGAGAGGCCCCACCTACGTCTATCTGCAGGAGGCTGATAAATCCTGTCACACACAAACTCTGCACACACACACACACACACACACACACACACGGGCACTCAAAATTTGTGCACGGACATACACACATCACATTCAAACACACACACAAACCCGCTGTCTGGTGACAATCATTCAGGCAGAGCGCTGGCTGGACCTCAATCCATCTCCATGGCAACAGTTCAAGTGTGTGTGTGTGTGTGTGTGTGTGTGTATACAGTGACCAGACATGGGAGAAAGTTATATGATGGTCTTTATAGGCACACACACTCTCTCGCGCGCGCACACACACACACACACACACACACACAGCGGGAGAGGCAATGGATTTATCTGGTGATACTCCGATATGGCTGATAGGGTTAATTGGTTTTCAGAGGGCATGTAGAGACTGACACTGACCAGATTACTGCAGAGACACCAAGGAAGCACTGCCAGAGACAGAGCAAGAAGCATGAGAGGAGCAGAGCGAAAATAAATGGAAGTGATGATGTGAGAGCAGGAAGTGTAGGGAGGAGGGGAGGTGGAAGAAGATTTACCTTCTACCTTTTGTGTCAAAGAGAAGTTATGGAGTGAGTAGAGGAGGCAAGGATGAGATTTATGAGGGAAGTTTAAGGTCAAAAAGAGGGTCAGTTAAATTTGATAGAGCAAATGTTTATTTCCTTAATTTCTTTCTTTGTTTTTGTGTCACTGGAGGCCTTTTAAACTAATTTCCCTCCTCTTAATTCAACACCATAATCTCACTCTATATTGATTTGAGTTTGGACACAAAGGGTTGCATGGTGGCAGCACATATGTGGCCGCAAGAAATGTCAGTGCAGAAATGTCAAACATATATCTGAGGTAGTTCTTACCTGAGGTACAGCCTTACCTCAAGTCCATTTAGTGGTTGTTCTGGACCTTTTGATCAGATCACATTATCCTGTGCATGACCTTTTTCCCAGATCCTGTGGATTTGTAGGTGCATATCAGATCATGACTGAAAGCTCCAGAAAAGCTACTAAATGGCCCTTGAGGTGAGATTGTTTTGCTGTGCCCAGAGGTGCCCTGGTGGGAGTCCAGCTGGGGAAGTTTATTGAGGTGTCGTTCCCAATCTCACTCTCCCCTAGATTAAAAAAATAAACCTGGAGTTTGAAACTTGTTTGAAGTCATTTAGAAACAGCAATGCCATTACATAATTCGTCCTACAGAGAGCACTGACAGATTTGCAAATTTAAGGGATCCATATCAAAAACATTTGCTTATGTTATGTCAAAAAATGTAAAATCAGATAATATATCCTAATCAGATTATTTATTGGTATGCGTCTCAAAAATCCAGTAATGATCACAATAACCGTTGAGATATGACAATGTGTCGAAAAAGCAGAATGTCCCAGTAGTCATTTACAGTTTCCTTCTTCTCTCTCTTGTTACAAAAAACAATATGTGGCACCACACATACAGTCAGACGGGTTGCAAATGATTAAACGTGCAATACTGAGACAGGAGAATAAAATAAATAAATTGAGTTTCGTTAACTTTAATTGCCATTACAACGGACGTGAAGAACTTGCCTTAATTTCTTAAAACAGAAAAGGGAGAAGATAAAATGTTCCAGATAAGTTAATTTAATTAATAAATCTACATCATCTCAGTGATATTACTTTACTTACATACTTAATATGTAACCTTACATACTTAATATGTAACCTTACATACTTAATATGTAACCTTACATACTTAATATGTAACCTTACATACTTATATACTTATGCATATATAACCTCCAGAAAATTCATTGTTACTGATATGACAAGGCTTTTAGTCTCCTAAAACTAATAACTGTTCTTAAACTTTTAAACAAAATACCACTTATAATGGCAGAAGGGACTCTGTTGAGGGGGAGCATTAAGGGTAGGTCAACGAGGGCATGATAAATGACAGTTAGAATGCTGAGTACGAGTGGAAACAGCTCCAATAGTGCTTTTAGTGTGGGTGGGTTTTAGGATCAGTGTTACAGTCCACAACAGGGCTACATAACAAGAACGTTAAATTCTGATGATTTTTTCCTTTGAGACATTTCTCTGTTCATAGTGAGATTCATAAAATAAACCCATAGCATGGCTTTAGGCAAGGGCAACTGGAATAAGATCGTTGAAGACATTTCGCCCCTTATCCAAAGGGCTTCTTCAGTTCTGAAGTGGCCCTTTGGATGCTTCTTGAGCAACGACTCTTGAGGTGTAAACAACCCTCGAGACGTTAAATGACTCACCACCAGTTAGTCAGAACTGAAGAAGGCTTTTGGACAAACATCTTCAAGTATTAAGTTGAATCCAGTTGCACTTGATTAGCGCTTCTAGATATACCATGACCGTCACTTGACCATAACTGAGAATCATTGCAGCATGTTAGACTCTCATCAGCAATGATTTTCACTTTTTCTGAATTGTGCCAATCTAATTTTGTAATAACTTTCTATTGGGTAGCCCTTCTTCATTGAACGAGAGTGTTGTTTCAGATTTATGTATGCCTCTGTTTCCTGGAACAGGTTTTCCAAACACTACAACCAAAATGTACACATCTTTGCTTTGTGTGAATTGTCTGCAAGCCGACGAGGTTTACATTTCCCATCACATTCAACAGGTGTGTGCAGAGGGATTAACACTCAGGCAATCTTTTTGTTTTGTAAGTTTCAAGAGCATATTGAGTCTTCAAGGCAGCTGAGATGTCGGTGGCATTACTATTTCAGATGAACTCTGAAAATATGATGGCAGTTGTTTGTTTTTTACAGTCAGTTTTATCTTCAGGCTTGTTGAGATGGTTAATTATCAATTTCACTGAAGCTGATAACCACCTCCAGATGGTCCAAATCTCACATTTCTTTCAGCGGTGCCCTGCCTCACACACACACTGTTGAACACATTACAGAGAGCTGCCAAAAACCACAACATGGAGCTTTACAACCCCAGTTTCCTGCTGTCAGTCACTGAGCTGCTGCAGTTGAGCAACTGGACACCTTGATGGCAGATGATGAGTGCTCCACATTCAATTACCCCTCCCATATTTTCCAGGGCAGCCAGTGATTCACTCCAGCAGTTTTCCAGTCAGGGTCTGCTTTCCCAGCTGCTGCCAGCACTTTATCTCAGTTATCAACTGCCTTTGATGTATTGGGTCATCTGTGCTGGTGCAACAGTTTATAGGGCTGTACTGATAGTTTGAAGCTTCGTTCAAGGCAAGCAACGTTGACATTTCTACATCAACATTCACTCGAAAAACTAGATGTGATCAAAATTATACAATTTATAAATGGTACCGCAAAGTCAAATTTTGAAAACAACATTTTCATAAAGGCAGTTTGGTTTTCAAAATTTGACTTTGCGGTACCATTTATAAATTGTATAATTTTGATCACATCTAGTTTTTCTTTATGGAGGTTGAATGAACTTACTGTAAGTCCCTTCAGACAAAAGCATCTGCCAAAAGAGTGTAATTTACACACATGCAGTCAGTTGAACATCAATCTCAGGAGCTTGAGAACCAGATTTTTGATGATATTTTCTCCATATATCTGTTAGCTTGAAGAGGCAGAGGTGTAATTCCAAGGAACCATATTTGCGACACACACATACTTGTCAGTAAACTCATTTATGCAAGACTGAGACCACATGCATATGCGCACTGCATTATGTACAGCCTGATCAAATTTAATGGAGCAGAAATGTCCTTGAAAGTTAAAAGATGCCTGTGAAATTGCAAATGAGGATCCAAAATGGCCCTCTGCTAAATTGGAGAACCCTTTCTGCATTTCAACCTGTCAATATGTAATTTGTTGATTTGTGAAATATTCATACGTGAACGGTTTTGCTATCCCCTGTGGGCCTCTGTAGGCAAATTGTGGCTGAGCAGTTTTTCCAATGCTATGTGGGTGAGAAAAAATGGAGATGGATTTTGGTCAGAAATACACAGCTTAAAGCAGGAAGGGGGGGGGGGGGGGAATGCAGAGTCCACAGAAAACACTGTGTCAAAATAAACAAGCAATATTGAAAAACAACTCAACAGTGTAGTGGTGGGATATGATTTTAACACGTAACAAATTGCACCTTAAAATCTCATCAAGGCATTAAAATAAGCGCACCTACTCACACGATTACACACCGCCACTGTATCTATAAATCTATCATTGCCTTTGCGTACCCACACTAGGTTTAAGCAATATTGCAGTATATACCATGCAACGGTAGAAATGTGTTCATATGTAGAGATTTGGCAATACCGCTTCCACCGCGGGAGCTATCCCTTCGTGTCTCTGCTACAAAGGGTTAGGGGTAGTGACGTGACGTGAGAGCGACACTTGGTGGCGGTAATGCACCTCTAAGCAGGATTTCCAACCACCGCAGAAGAAAACATGGAGAAGGGAGTGAAACTGTAAATACAGAGCAGGAGGAGATGTTTTTGTTTTTGTATCGCTGTTCCAAATAAAAGAAAATAGTCAAATAGGATGAGGTAGGGTATAGTTATTTTGAAACCATTTCTTAATTGAATTTTTTGGGGGGGCCATATCACCCACCCTTAACCCACACTGCTTTAAATGGCCTCTCCAATAATGGGTCAGTTTACCTCACATCCTGTAAGTGATGTGAACTTGCTTTAGGCAGGAAGTGATTAGAAAAGATGTAGAGAGCCATAAAGCAGAGCTGCTGGAAGGTTCACACACAGACAGCCAATCACCCCAATGATGCTTGACGGAGTTAGGAGCAGAAAAAGAGGGCATAGTTTTGGGAAAGATGTATTAGTTAATCTGCAGGGAGCTACACAGCAGATAATGTCTTTCTTTCTCCTGTCTCCTGAACTCTCTGACTCTTTGCTTGATTTTATTTCTCATTCTGTCTCTCAAGCACATAAAGAAATGCATATTTGGTCAACAAAATTTTAATTATTTAATTATCAGGTGACATTATAACAAGTCCTTCAAATTAAATGTCAAAATTCATTGTTTGTCCATGCCTTCTGGAAGGACACAGTGTTTTGTTCTGATGACAGGACATCATTTATTTGTGCCTTCCAAAACCATTACACATTTTATGATGTGGCAACGCTCTGGTAAAGTTTGGTTAGGTTAAGAGACATAAGCGACTTGGTTATATTTAGGGAAATATTGTGGTTTAGGTTAAAATTACTGCTTTGTTGAGGTTAGGGGACCACCATCATCATCATAGTATAATGAACACTTGGTTAAGACTCGGGAATGAAACCAGTTTTGTCATTTGAACGTATATCGTTTTGAGGAATTTGGTGAAACAGACTTTTTTTCTTGAGAGATTTGATAATATTATGTCTTCTGGAAAACTGAGAATGATGTTGTTGCTAATTTCACTGATGACGTTATGGCCAGTAGCTTGTTGCATAACCTTTTGACACTTTTTAAGCAAAGTGAAAGTATGAGAAATATTTGAGATATAATTCAAAATATGATTATATTAAGCAAAGGTGCCAGGTACTTTAAGGGTTTAAATCATTTAAATTTTTCACTAAATCTCATCTGTTTATTTACATATTTCCTTCCAATTCCCAAGAATCACTGAATATTGTATTATTTATATAAAATTAATTTTATATTTATATAATATATATTTATATATATATTTATATTTATATATTTTATATTAATTTTAAGAATTAATACTTCTGTTTTTGAAGATGTATTTCACTGTTTTTGTTCGAAAGTATCAGCTGGTGATCTTGCTTTCCTTAGTTTCTGAGCTGAGATCAGTCATACTGTATGTTGCTTTCCTAACCCCATATGATGTTGTTCCAACTTACTGAACCAACTGTGATCAACAACAGCCAGAAGACCACTTTAGCTAGATATGTGGAGCCCCAGTGGATTTGTGACAATAGATTTTTCTGTTACCTGCACAGGGGATTATGCTCTCGAATCTCAGGTATTAGTAGGCTTACCAAGGGGATTACACATTGTACTTGATTCGGTCCGAATAGATAATGCACCGGTATGGAAGTGTACCTCCGAAAAAATAAAATAATTATCTCAGAGATGTTCTGTGCTGAAAGTGGGTGGTTTTCCCTAATGGCCAAGGAATATGTGACTGCAGCAATTGAGTAACAGTGGGGAATTGTTCTGCTGCATACTGTAGATACCGAGGCATTCATCCAACTGGGATGTCCTTTTTTTATGATATGAGGAATGAAGCCCCAGTCTCATTTACATAAACAAATGTAATCTTGTCGTGTGGGGCCCCTCACATCTTGGAGATTTTGAATAAGGACTTTAAAAGTCTAAATGACAGTCATAACAACTCAAAAAGCAAAGTGTATATCCAGTGTATATACTGTACATTTATTTGTAGCTCACTATTGTAACTGTAACTGTATATCAGGAAAGGTAACTTACACTTATTACTATTAATGAATGAATAACATTTTTATTGTGTCCTGCCTGCAATTACTTAGAAGACACCTCAAAATCATATAATCCAACAACAGCACTACAGAAAGTCCAAAAATAAAGAGCAATTTGAAAAGTTTGATTATCAGACCTTGTCTGTAATAACATTATGTTTGACTCTTGCAAGTATTCATCAACTTCTAGATGATGAATAGTTGTCATGCTTTTTAATGTTCTAATGTCCAAACCTTCTTTTCATATTTATATTAAGCTGTGTGAAATGTAGTTTCTTTATACAATAGATTTGATTTAATCAAATACTCTGACGTAACAGGATTAAAACAGTCTTTGGTATTAGTTAATTGTGTTTTCCATTCCTGGAAATGGAACAATTCATATATTTACATGTGGCATAGGTCTCAAGTAATGAACACTTTCAATCTACAGATTATTTACTGTTTAGTTGATAAATTGTTTTGTCTATAAAATGTGAGAAAATGCTGAAAAATACTAATAACACATTTCCTAGCACTCAAGTTGAAGATTGCTTGCTTCGGCCGACCAACAATCCAAAACTCAAAAATTTACTGTCACATAAGGTATGGAAAAAGACACTAATCCTCACATTTGAGAAACTGGAATAAAGGAATGTTTACCAGTTTTTTTTTGTTTGTTTTTCTTTTTGCTTGCTCACTAAAGTGTTTATTTATTATCAAAATACTTAATTTTCTGTCAATAAACTAATCATTAATTGACTAATCTTTTAGCTCAAATGTGAAGGTTATACTTTTACCATCTGTTGACTCTTTTTGTAACTAAATTCAGTCTTTTTATGTCCTTATTCAACAATGGAGCAGCTGTAGTTGCTGAACTGAACTAGAGCTTGACTTGTTGCACTGGCTGATGCTTGCCCTTGCTCAGGGATTTGAGGGCATTTGTGCTCAAATAAATGGACTAGTTGTACAGTAAGTGAATAAAAGCGTTTCCTGAGGGAAAATTGTCCTGATGACTCGGCCTGTTAATGCATGTACCAGGTACTGACAGTACAAAGGGTTTGAATTTTTATCTTACTCGTGGAGAGTACATCTCTGTCTCTGTCTGCTTCCGGTTATTCAGGCTGCATGCACTTCTCATGAAAAGTAGAATAAATTCAGAGAGTGTTCGATGAGGGTGGGCTGTCAACATGCATCAGAAAAGTATCTGCCAAAGAGTGTCAGGTTGCGCAGTAGCTTCACTTCTTGCTCGCTGACCTCCCTGCAGCTTGACAAGAACTTGGATTTTACCAAGCTGAGCTTTTGGACTCTAGAAAGAGACATACAGTGCCTTGTACATTATTGAATTTATAACTGTTATATATATTAACTGGGACTATTTTATGTTGCTGTGCTGCTGAACCTGGGCCATGCGAGACTGGAAAACAGATGCATTTCACTGCAGCATTCCTCTCTCTTTGGGTTAACACACACATAATTTCATAGTGCATGTTGCAGAGATAAATACAGCCTACTGAGGACACTAAATATTGATTAGAGGTGGGTAGTGACAAGCACCATGGATTCCGTTACATTATGTCACTTTTTGACTAAATTGTACTTGTTGGAGTAACAACAGGGAAGGGGCTCATACAAGACATAACATGCTGTTGTAGAATTTATTTGATCCCTGATCAGTTTAATCAATGAATGAACTATGTTGACGAGAGAGCATTGATATGTATGGGTGTGAGAGCATGTCATTCATGTGTTTGTGTTTGTTTATGGATGGCTGTGAGCTGAACTGTAAATTGTTGAATTTAAAGTGCGTGGTGTTCTTCTTCTGGGAATTTTGGCAGTGACAATACCAAAACACCTCTGGCTGTTATTTGCATGTAGCCCAGGAAAACCAAGACAAATTGCAATCTGATTTGTGATCTTGTCAACGAAGATGTGTGCATTAATATGTGTAAATGAAAGTGTATTAAATCTCATCTGGATTTTAACCTGATCAGAGCTTGTGGAGCTTCTAACTATAACTTCAGTTCAGGCTTCACTCTCACCAGCTGTTTCTGCACCTCCCCCTTCACAGAATCATTCAAAAATTGTAAAAATATTTAGTGCTCTGCTCGTGCTACGTTCTTATGTGGGTGCTCTGAAAAAAAAAACATATTCTTTGATTTTGAAACGGTAGCCTTTTGTTGTTGTTATTTAACCTTTCTGATGCTATTGCATGGTTCAGTCTATCATCATCAACATCACATGCACTAAATTGAGAATCACGTCGTCCTGGCCCTGGACTTCTCATTTTGTTCAAAACTGTGGGTCTTAACTCTTGCATTACCCTTCATTAGTAGACTTATCTAGACATAACATAAAAATGCCTGCACACTTGGGTGTGAGAGGAAGTCCTATGCACCGCTATCAGGCGTACCATAGCAACGAGACAGTTTCCTTCTATCTAATTTACATCACCCTTTCTTATTGTCATGTAGTCCAACCTGTAATATTTACCTCCCACTTGAATTTATTCTCAAAAATACGTAACAAAGCTCCTCACATATCTGCTTAATACACATATTTAGTTTCCAATTACAGGATGGTTCTTCATTTTACGGGACAGTTGGCAACCCTAGACATAACAAACATTTACCTTACCTATTCATTTCATATATTGCATTATTCTGCTTCAACAGAAGTAAACAGATACCACAAAAAATGCTTGAAAAATACTGGAATTTGTCTCAGAGTCTCAGAAGCAGATGTTTTTCACTGTTTCAGGCAACATGAGATCAACAAACACAAACGTTCGTACTGGCTTAATCCAGAGAAAAAGCACCTTTGATGTGAGCCTGACCTCCTTTGGCTTGGTCTGACTCATTTCCTCTTTCTTTATGGTAACATTGGCTGTAGCGATTAAGCATCCAGTTGTTGTTACCGTAGGCTACATAAACCACTTCATAATTGCAGTTTGCTTCTACACCACTCTAAGCCACATTAATTGTGTTGAAGTATAATGAAAATATCATGTTTTATATATTTTGGCAGTATTAATTATCTCTGTATCATTTAGTGCCCTTTAACTTGTATTACTCTGCATTTTACCTTACAGGTTGGCACGCTATCACAATTTGAGGGCACGTGTAAATTATAGAAAGAGAGTTACGGAACCTGTTATCTGTTTAATTGAACATCCTGATTTGTGTTTCAGACAGCGACATGTTCCAAGCTGTTAAACCTTTTTCACACAGAGCCTTTCAGGCAGATAACATGCTGATGAAGCTACATGATCTTCCCTCCTCATCTATATGCAAACAAATTGTTGGGCTTCTGTAAATAACATCACAGAGTATGGTCTAGACCTGCTCTTTTATGAAAAGTGCTCTGAGATAACTGTTGTTGTGATTTGGTGCTATATAAATAAAATTGAACTGAAAAATTGAATTGAATTAAATAATGGTCTTTCTTGTGTGTGTGTGTTTTGTTTTGTTTTGTTTTTTTGCAGTTGGGTGAGGACACCTTCAACCGTGCCAAGTTGTTAAATGTTGGCTACACAGAGGCTTTGAAGGACGCAGAGTACGACTGCTTCATCTTTAGTGACGTGGACCTGATCCCAATGGACGACCGCAACCTGTACCACTGCTACGACCAACCGAGACACTTCGCCATCGCCATGGACAAGTTTGGTTTCAGGTGAGGAGACAATTTTCAACTTGCATGTTATTTTTAGGGCTGACGAGGGACCACAGTACCCACCTTCTTAGCACAAGTTCCTACTTGCATTTACCATAATAAGTCTTGATGCTTAGGAACACTGACGTTCACTTTATATGGCATTTGCCAAAGTCTAATTTCTCATTTTAGTTTGAGCTAATCTCTCTTGTAAAATGTAAATATGTGGAATTTAAATATGTAATTGGCAGCCTAACAAAACATTTTACAGACAGTCTTTGTTCTGACAGACAATTGACAGAGCAGTATTTAATTTGACTAAATCTCATTATACTTTGAAATCCTTGTGTGAAGTCTAAATTAACATGAAAATACAACACAGTCCACCGCTGCCAATTTTTATTTGGTCATACTTCTGTAGTCCTGACAAGAGCACATGATGCAAAGCGTAACTAACAAGTCTGCAGCTTGTTAAAACACCCTTATTAATTTTGAAGGCTGTGTTCGAATGATGGACCTGCTAGATCAACCTGTATGAATCAAGTTGCTGGGCAGTCTGCTGCAGCTGCTGTTTCTGTAGCCTAAAGGATCTGTACAAGACGACACTGTGTGTTTTCCATGATTTATATCAGTGAGGCACTGACTTGTGCTGACAATGACAATGTGCTGTCGTTGTGGGTAAATTCACTAATGAGAAACTTAGTAAACTTTAGTGTTGATCACCAGGCTCCCCAGTAAAAACGCAGTACACATACAGTACACTAGAGTATAAACATACACATAGAGTAAAAAGGAATCTGCAACTATTTGAATAGTCATTAGCCGTGTTTCCATCAACATTTTTTATGCGCCTTTTGAATTATCGCATTAGAAAAGGTTGATGGAAACGGCAAAATTTGAAAAAAAAATCCTTGATTTTGCAAAAACGTTTTTACACTTGCTTGAGGTGGTTTTTGCCTTTGTCAAAAAACTGTTAATGCGCTAAATGGGAGATGGGAACACTTTTGGCAAATAAGCTCTGACGTACAGGGGTTGGACAATGAAACTGAGACGCCTCTCATTTTAGTGTGGGAGGTTTCATGGCTAAATTGGACCAGCCTGGTGGCCAATCTTCATTAATTGCACATTGAACCAATAAGAGCAGACTGTGAAGGTCCAATTAGCAGGGTAAGAGCACAGTTTTGCTCAAAATATTGCAATGCACACAACATTATGGGTGACATACCAGAGTTCAAAAGAGGACAAATTGTTGGTGCACGTCTTGCTGGCGCATCTGTGACCAAGACAGCAAGTCTTTGTGATGTATCAAGAGCCACGGTATCCAGGGTAATGTCAGCATACCACCAAGAAGGACGAACCACATCCAACAGGATTAACTGTGGACGCAAGAGGAAGCTGTCTAAAAGGGATGTTCGGGTGCTAACCCGGATTGTATCCAAAAAACATAAAACCACGGCTGCCCAAATCACGGCAGAATTAAATGTGCACCTCAACTCTCCTGTTTCCACCAAAATTGTCCGTCGGGAGCTCCACAGGGTCAATATACACGGCCGGGCTGCTATAGCCAAACCTTTGGTCCCTCGTGCCAATGCCAAACGTCGGTTTCAATGGTGCAAGGAGCGCAAATCTTGGGATGTGGACAATGTGAAACATGTATTGTTCTCTGATGAGTCCGCCTTTACTGTTTTCCCCACATCCGGGAGAGTTACGGTGTGGAGAAGCCCCAAAGAAGCGTACCACCCAGACTGTTGCATGCCCAGAGTGAAGCATGGGGGTGGATCAGTGATCGTTTGGACTGCCATATCATGGCATTCCCTTGGCCCCATACTTGTGCTAGATGGGCGCGTCACTGCCAAGGACTACCGAACCATTCTGGAGGACCATGTGCATCCAATGGTTCAAACATTGTATCCTGAAGGAGGTGCCGTGTATCAGGATGACAATGCACCAATACACACAGCAAGACTGGTGAAAGATTGGTTTGATGAACATGAAAGTGAAGTTGAACATCTCCCATGGCCTGCACAGTCACCAGATCTAAATATTATTGAGCCACTTTGGGGTGTTTTGGAGGAGCGAGTAAGGAAACATTTTCCTCCACCAGCATCACGTCGTGACCTGGCCACTATCCTGCAAGAAGAATGGCTTAAAATCCCTCTGACCACTGTGCAGGACTTGTATATGTCATTCCCAAGACGAATTGACGCTGTATTGGCCGCAAAAGGAGGCCCTACACCGTACTAATAAATGATTGTGGTCTAAAACCAGGTGTTTCAGTTTCATTGTCCAACCCCTGTAACTCACAATGATCAGCTGTTTCCGCTGTCGGCGTCTTGCCGGAGAAATGGCTGGTAGCAACTTGGTCGCTTGAAACACACTCTCTCCATTTTTCTAAGATCAGTAGCCATCAGTTCCATGTGACTAGTTTTGTTTCTGGTTTGAAACCCATACGTTTATTATTATGTGTAACTACGCTTGCTATAGCCTGGTTTATTCGCTCCAAACCAGCTGATGGAAACGCATGTATTTCACATTTACTTTTTTTTCTTTTTGGTGACATTTCAAAAGTCTGCTTAAAATTCGCATGACAATTAGATGGAAAAATGTCATACATTCTCTAGTTCAGGCCTCTCAGTTATTGATATGATATGACTGAATATCATTGGGTTTTAGTGTGCTGGTCAGACAAGACAGACACAAGCTAATTAATGACTCATCCTCAAAAGATAATGTGGTGGGCAGTTTCACCGCCTTACCCACCACAATGAATTTTAGACCTCCTTTGAATGAGAAAAAACTACCAATGAAATCTGAATAGGAAATATATTGAAAGAAACCTTTGTCAGAGAGGAACACCCCCACCAATCACTTTGGCTTTGTGTGCAATGGATGTGATTTTAAAGCTAAGGGGTAACCATGATGCATGTTATCAAAATGCAGTGTACAGCTCCAGAGTTTTCCGCCAGCACTGAATGATTGGTTCTGTTTTATTTATGTCTTCTTGCATAAAGGCACCACACCTGCCCTTAATTATCTAAAAGCACTAGAAGCAATAATTAAATTACCCTAACATGGCGAGTGAATGCGCCCTACCCCATCCAAGAGTTGTCAGTCCACAAGAGTTACCCTACTGAAAACCCTCCAGCGGGTCCCTGATATAGTGCTCAATAAGCTAATTCTATCTGGCACAAATATACAATACCAGGGTTGTAGCAAACGCTTCTTATTAGCAATGAATCAGTCAGGACTTTAAATCGTTTTACCAGAGTTTTTTGGCCCCCAGAAAATGAAGGACAGAGGGATTAAAGTTAAGCCTGGTGGTTTGAGTGAGTGGAAGGTCACAAAATTGATTGAAGTTAATTGCTGATGTAAAAATCAGATCCTTGTAGAAAATTGGCTCCCAAGGTTAAAGTAGTCTGAGTCAGCCCACCAACTTTTTTTGTTCGGCCCTTCCAGTTTTAGCATTTAGCACTTCCAAATGAAAGGAAATAAAGTCAGCAAGAAACAAACAAGCAAATAAAGAACTAGTGAAACTTTTGATTTAGGCATCATGACGCTGACTTAGCGCAGAGGGTAAATTTAGCATTTTAGCTGAGTCATTTCAGGAAGACGATCGTAGCTGCTCTCAAATGTAAAAGCATTAGTAGTTTTTTGATAAATAGTGAAAACATCGCCGGTGAAAGTCAGGTCACATGAAGTGCTATTCCATTACCTTAGCACCTGACAACACCTTACAGCTCTCTGAGCAGAAAGGGTCACCTTGAAGTCCATTTCACAACACGACTCTTTCAAAAACATTCCACAAATTATCGCCTCTCAAGGGACCTTATGCAATGTATTAAATTATATTACCATTATATTATACAACATGCTGTGGAAGCTTAAGTGCTTGTTTCTTGGGTAGGCGCACTGTGAGTGTGCTACAGCCCATTTGCACATTTACAGAGAGCACATTTATACTAGGTCATGACCTTATCCTGGCAACGTTGGCACGCTTTTGAGAAAATTAAAGACAGGCAATATGTGAAATAATCAAAATGGTAAACAATGCACAATATGCTATACAGGAGAAGAAGACCGCAAGCTGAAAATGCTGAATGCTGATGCAGGAAATGCATTCAGCTTGTTTGATGGAGTTAATAGACAAGAAATGTTACTTTTACAATAATTTCACAGGTTAAAGACCATAAAAACAGGGCAGCACGGTGGTGCAGTGGTTAGCACTGTCGCCACAGCAGGAAGGTCGTTGGTTGGAACCCCTGTCGTCCCGGCCTTTCTGTGTGGAGTTTGCATGTTCTCCCCGTGTCTGCGTGGGTTCTCTCCAGGTGCTCCGGCTTCCTCCCACAGTCCAAAGACTAGGTTAATTGTCCTTAGTTGAGAGTGGTTGTTTGTCTATGTGTGGCCCTGCAATGGACTGGTGACCTGTCCATGGCCTGTACCCCGCGTTTCGCCCGATGTCAGCTGGGATTGGCTCTTACGCAGGATAAGCGGTTGACGATGGATGGAAAAAAAACCTGGTTTCCACAATTTAGAATTTCTCTGTAATATTAAATACTTAAATTAAATTAAATAAGGAACGATCACTTTTTAAGTTAGAAACACAATAAAATAACAGTTAAAGACTCTGCTAATGTGTTTGATTATGAATATGTGTGTGTCGTTTCATTAAGGGTTGATTGACGGTCCTGGCAACATAAGCAGAAAAACCCACAACATCAGATTTTGATTCAAACTTTGCTAAATTCAGAGTGGTGTATGACAAATAATAACACAAATACAGAAATTTGCCATGTGGAATAACCACAACGGTTCCAGCTTTAGCATAAAAGTGTCAAGTGTATCCCAGCACTCAAAGAAGGAAGCTATTTGAGAAAATAAGTTTTCAGGACCTTTAAAATCCATACTGAACTAACGGTTGAAAATTTAGGGCAGGTCACCTTTCCAACTAATCAGTGTACTTTTAAATGCCACAACACAATGATAAACTTCATCATCTGTCCAGTGGAGCCCAGTATATTGTATTTAAAATTGTATTTTTATTTGCAGAATAATATGGCTTGGAATTATCCACTTATTGTCACTTATTCACCTGCCCCAGGTGTTTCATTCTCTGCCGTCCATGCTAATACTTGTTGTAAAAAAGTAAACCAGCGGAGCTAAGCTGACCTTTGACATGTGTCAGTCACTCCTCAGAGAGAAAATATATTTGTACAGAATAAGAGGACAAGAAGTCACCAAATTGGCATCATAACATTATTGCTGCATTTCTATCGTGCTTATGCAGTATTTTTCAGACTAGTTCATGGAGTCACACCGTTGAAGATTATTAAGACTTTTCTTTATCCTGTTACAAGTGAGACTAAGTTCTTAAGTTCTCAATAAAAATATAAAAACAATTTCCAGTTTCTCTCTCGATTTTTCTCTTCTTCTTCTGCACTAGCATGTGTCCATTTTAAGGAGAAGCACACACACACACTCCATATTGTTGCTGGAAACATACGGACTCATTAGTTTCTGCTTGTCATCTTTCAACAGGGACCTGTCATGCGTTTGACAACACATACTGTACAGAATATACACACATGTACACACACACACACACACACACATCACCCTCCGGGTAGACTCCAGGCGCCTGTCATGACATTCGCAGCTGACGTCCATCCCACTCCACCAGTCTCACAACTTTTGAGGAAAAAATAAAACACCTGTCCGCCCTCTTTTGTCCACTGTCTACACACACACACACACACACACACACACACACACACACACACACCGTACAAATGGCTGGTATTTTCATAAACAGAACACAAACCCTCCGTCATTTTATTGCCTTGTTCTTTCTTCCTTCCTCTTCTATTCATTTTCTTTCTTGTATGTCTTCTCTTCATTCCCTCTGTTCTTATCTTTTCACTCATTCATTCTACTCTAAGCTGTAGTCGCTTTGTCATGTGTCTTTTTTAACCGATAAGGTCACAAGGTTGATTTTGGGGCAAATATGAAAATGCTAAAAAGGTAACTTGGCTAATAATCAGCCAATATTTATTTGGCTGCTTCTAACCACCGGAGCCCTACAGTATGTAGTGATACTATAGCCTCTCTTTACACCCGGTCATTTCATGTGTCTTGAGTGGATTATATATGGATATGGATTATCCACTTACTGTAGAGGCGCACCCATAAATTATCCACTTAAAAATGTATCTAATACACGTTAGGAAAAGATCTGATTGCCCAAAACACTTCATGATGTAATATGATTCAAATGTAAATTCTGCCATTTCTGCAAGTCAAATGCAAAAAAAAAAAAAAAAAGCTGGCACCTTCCACTAACTTTAAGAAATATTATATTAGTAATATTATTAACGATTATTTGAGTGGATGCCAATTTTATTTGATGTCATGTAATGAACTGCGGTTTAGTTTTTCCTACAATATTGGGGACTAGGAAATCCTTCAGATGTTGCACTGGATTTTTGTTATTAAATGTTCGATTTGGTGTTTTCTGCTAATGCTAACGGCTTCCTATAAATGCTGTAAACAAATGAGGCCATGGTTAAAATGATGGTAGATCATACTCGGATTATTGTTGGTGTTGTTGAGTCCAAATTTCCTGTGAACGCTGTTGTTTCCTGTTGCAAAGACATTTCTCTTTTACTTCACTAATTAGGATGTTAAAAGGGATCACAGAGTTGAAGCTGCTAATCTTTCTACTGTATGAAGGATCTTGTTTGTTTATGCAATTCTAAAAAAAATTGTAAAAATATATTCATTTAAAATGCTACATGTATATGATTTGAAACGTAATAACCTGCTTCCTTTATATATTCTCCCACCTTTCATTTTCTCCTTCCCTCATCCATCCCATCTCTTCTTCTCTCCTCTTGTGAAGGCTGCCCTACGCAGGCTACTTTGGAGGAGTTTCAGGCCTCAGTAAAAAACAGTTTCTGAAGATCAACGGTTTCCCAAACGAGTACTGGGGCTGGGGAGGGGAGGACGATGACATCTACAACAGGTAACCATGGACAGACATAGCATGCGCTGCTGGCTCTTATTTCTTCACCATTTAAATGTGACATTATCCTGTCTACCATTATGTCTATGTTTAAATTGTGATCAGGCAAGTAAAGTAAACTCAAACTCAAACTACACTAAATTACTTGTCAAGATTAGCATTTTGTAATGAGTTCAGCCACAGGAAAAAACAGTAATATTGCATCTGTCAGGGTTATGTTCAGTCATCTGTTTGGAATAAAATCCTTGTCAGACCACCAACTGCAACACGTGCGCACACACACACACACACACACACACGCACACACACACGCACACACACATTGATGTGCACACAAATATGCTCATCATTTTAGCCTCTACTGCCGATTGTAGCGGTAAATGTGGCGAAATCAAGTCTCTCAGCTGAAAGTGGCAGTGAAGTTCCTCATGGAGTGGATGATTTATTGTAATTGTTCGGAGAAGGAGAATGATTAGCAAATAAATTAACCTTTTGAAGCACTTCAGTCAGCTTTTAATGACTTGCTCAAGTTCACTAATAATATTACTATGGAAGTGAGCTGAAATCAAATCCAGGGGAAGAATATCTGTTTGACAGGAAGACTGCAGATGACTTAAGACTGCTTAAATGTGTTGAACCACTTACAGAGCCATTAGTTTAATTTATGGTCTACTCAGACGGTTGTTTGGACTGAAAATTGTTTTTAATTACCTGGTGAACTTATGATCTGACAATTAAACAAATGATTTTGCATAGAAATAATGAAACTACCTTTGCATTGTGCCTTAATCACAGTTGACATATTCCATATATCCCTCTGTAACCACTCCATTGCACATGTTACCCCTGCCAGTCACATCAACACACTGGAAATGTCCTCTTCATACTGCTGAAATAAACATTTAAGGTTGCATAAATTTCATAATTGAAAAAGTTGACAGTCTCCGTGGCGAATTAGCTTAAATTTTTAATTTATTTTTGTCACATAAACAGATGCATATGCATACAGAGAACGCGGCTTGGCTACACTAATTATAAACACAAACGCAGCAGGATGGCTCCTCACAGACAAAATGCGACCTCCATCTTTATTGTATCTCCATTCTTTGTTTTCTCTTTTTCTTTCTCTCTCTCTGTCCCGCTGTCACTTTCACACTGTGAAGCTTATCTTTCTCCTCTCAGTTTAATAGCATTATAAGAAAACTGAAAATAGACCATTTGAAAATTGGTGTTTTTGAGAATGGACTGTGTCAGTCAACACAGTATTCAAGAGATTACAGTTGTTTGTCAGCGTCTGGCAAGATGAGATAAAAAGAGATCCATGTGCGGTTCACTGAATAGTCATGTCGCGTGTGCATTTGTGTTTCTGTCTGTGTGTGTGTGGGGGGGGGGGGAGCGCAATAATGTGTCTATGGATGATAGATAAAGTTAAACCTCTAACTTTTTTATTGGATGATAGTTGCAGTTGGCCATTAGATGCTGTAGATTTCCCTCGAGATATTTTCTGCACTCGAACTGAGCAATTGCAGCTGCTATGAAATGTGAAGTGACGCGTGGGAATATCATTAAAATCTCAGTTGAATCATTCAGACATTGATTTCTGCAATTCAGATTCACCTGCATAGTGTCTATACATACATTTACAAGGCTACGTTGATAAATTCATCCGTAGATCTCAAAGGAGAAGCTTTTCACTGAACATGTAAACACTGCTAAATGTTCACATTTATTTGGATAAGACGCAAAATGCAAACAGAATTACATCCTGCTGAGATATTTCCCACACAGCTACACAACTAATTTCCTCTGAACCAAAGAGCAAAAGTTTCTTTGTAGCTTTTCCTTCCTCTGTAGTACTTTGTACATAAAGTGAGTCTGATGTAATTTGTGATGACCAGTGGACACTCTGGCCATACATGGCAGTTACCGGATAATGGCTAATTGAATTTCCCTTCAATTTCCAAGACTGTCTGGGGTCAGTTGCTTTAATTATATCAGTGGAACATCCTGGTGGCATAGAGGTTTAAGATGCCATATAATCACTATGTGCCAGAGTTGAGTACATCCGGGACCACCGCTCTCACTCCCTCATTTTCTGTAAGCTCTTCGCTTTACACCAGATGTTTTCAAACTGTGATACACATATTGTTGGATTGAGTTTGACTTAAACCTTTCGAGGATATCATTACCTCTGATGTCCATCCTAAATAAATGTTATTAATTACACTTAGAAATCCTAGAAAAAAGTGTTCCTCATAAATCCAGAACTTACTTAAGACTCATTATGTTTTTAAGTTTTCTTCAAAATCAAAGTAAGCCAGTGATGGCTGTCTATACATCCATGGGCACATAGCAAACATGAGCTTCTATTAGCTAATTTGGCATACATTAAAGGTGCCAATTTCAAAATGTAAACAAATACAGGCTAAAAAATAGGGCTTAAGTTGTAGATCACAGCATAACTCACTGAATCCCTGGAAACATTTTGCTTACTGTTTACATCCCACAGAGCATCATGGCAGCTGTACTTACATAACATCATTATCCCAGAAATAGAAGGGGCCCACAGTGTGTCAGACTAACCCCTGTTGTATACTATCCAATAAAGGCAGAAATGCAGGGGAAACAACTTTAAAATATAAACAAACATTATCATTATTGCATGTTTTTTTCCATAACAAGTATGTCCCCTGGTGAGATGCAGTGTGTTTTCTAATTATTTTATTTTTAAAACCATTAAAATTGTTACATGCTAATATGCAGTGTGACTGTAGCAAAAGTCATCATATCATCTGAGTAATGTCAGTTAAAGAGCAGCAATATCTAAAGTTTGCCTAACTAAAACTAGCTAACATTAGCCACCATAATCTACTGGTCATAACACTGACCCTGAGTGTGTTGATCAAGGTACATTTTATTCATTTAGAATATCACTTTTCATTATTTGTAAGAGGAGCAATGTGTTATTTTTTCTTTAAAAAGTTACATGGCCTTGCTTTAAGTAATTCAGGTAAGTTAAAGACCATAATGCAATTCAACCACTTTGTATTTTGAGTTTAAAAATAAAATGTCAATAGGATACTCTAACTATGCAACCACTTGTTATACCCATGTTTTTACATTAAACCCTAATCTGAATGCAACAAGATCACACCTGTTCTGTTGAAATTCTCCACTGTTGTCATGAGAGAAGGCATAAAATTACTAAATTAAGTAGAACTACAGTAGAAGTTGCTGGTTGAGTCCACCAAAAAAAGGTCTTATTTTGTAACCAACATGAGCGAACACACTTGGGTGGAACAAAAGTGAGCACCTAACTGTGCTGTGTGTTTGCAGCATATTCAGAATACAGATGGACGGCAGTGAGAGATGTGGATTTTTCTGCAGGAGTTGTTTGAGAAGTTTCTTTAGACTTTGGACTCCTTGGAATATGAATCTGGGTCACTGTTGAAATTCACAGTAAGATTGCGAATCCTGCCTGACTACAAGTGCCGTCTCCTGTAGGAGCAAGCTACAAGGTTTGATGGTCAAAAGGTGTTTGGTGGAGTATTTCTTTAAACCTGCATTAGGTGATTTTTTTTTTCCCATGCTGGCATCACATCCAATGATCTGATAACATCTGACATAGTTTGGTCATAGTGCAAATCTCTAACAAAATCAACACCGTTGCTCTTTGCTGCATTATGTCGTTTTTTGGACATTGCTTCAGATTTACAGCACAAAGATGAACATCTAGCAGGCTAAACATTAAAATAATTTTCTCAGAAGTTAGTGAAGCCAGAAAAAATACCACTAGATATTGGACATACATTCATCAGGTGGCCAGAAGCACGACTCCAAATGGGAGGTTTGTCTGCTGTTAGCTGGATGTGTAAGTTGGCAGTTGGCTGCTAACAGATTAGCCTTTCTTGTCTGTTTGCATCCTAGTGGTTCAAACTCACTCAATGCACCGCAGTGTGGCAGATTAAAGTTTCTGCTGGCAGTGGCATTGTTGTAAACAAAAAATAAGTTGCATAGGTGATTGCTTTAATGCATCATTTTTAGATGCTTTTTACAGAACAGAAACTTGCAACCTAAATGATCTTTGTTTCTGTACACAGCTCCAATGTATTGAACTATATCTGCACTGTGATTTGTCTTGTCTTATTTGCTAACAACTGCCATATCTCAGTGCAAGAACAAAGTGCAATAGAGAGTTGATCATAAATCTCACCCTGTGTAAACTGACAATTGGAGAAAAAACATTAATTTATCCTGCTGTGTATTTGGTCTCAGCTGTGGGTGAAAATCCAGCGGTTCAATCGTTCTCCAAGGCTCACACCCCCTCCCCCCATCCACCTTTGCTTCTCAGGCCTGGCTTGTTTTTAAGCCTTTCACTGAGAAATCAAGTGATCCAAGTGTCAAGACGCAAGCAAAAATGTACTCCTACTCACTCATGTTGAAGAAACCTCATTAAAGTGTACATGCACCCAAAAGCCAAAAATGGCGTACGGCAAAAAATATTCAGACTTATAAAACCGTGCGTAAGCACACTTTTAAGCAAGTTCCCTTTATAAATCACAATCAACTTGAAATTTGGCGCATGTGAGGGAGCTCCATGTCTGACCCTTCAAACGCCCATAGTTGCTTATAAATGGTCAGTGAAACACCCCTCATTAATATTAATACGTCCTGACTGCAGGAAGTAAAGGAGATAAATTCTGACAGAAAACCTACAAAACGAGATTTAACTCAGTGTGACACTGACATTCCTTTTAGTGAAGCTGAAGCATGTTGTTTGGTGGTTAAAAAAACGCACTTTCACGCAACGCTTGTGCACCGGAGGAAAGGGGGCACCGGAGCTCCACCCTTTATAACCGATCTGCAGGAAGGGGCATTTCTCTTGAGTTGTGACGTCACGGTTTGGAGGGGGACACACACACGCAAGACGGGATGACCCAGGTCCCGTTTGAAAAGAGAGTAAACCAAATGCATTCCGCTTGTGTTTAAACATTTATTTA